AAATAATAGTTTTGAAGACCTGATTTTGGATTTTCACTGTGTGGTTTTGGGGCAGAATTTTTGGTTCTTCTGTTCCATTCGTGCTTAGTTTAATTTCCAAATATGTGAAACTTTCTACTGTTCTAACATCGTCTAATAATTCACTATGCTTCTGTTTCTTCTAGCTCTTGCAAGTGTTGCTCACATTGTCTGTTCTTCTTTAATGTCATGTCTTGTACATCTATGTCACTTTGTGTCTTTGTTCAAAATAGTTCTGAGTATCTCACATGTTATATGTGACATTTTTCATTACCACAGAATCTTTCATTTGATTCGACACCTGTTTAACGGGGTTTAGTTTGCAGAGGTACAGAAGACTTCGAGTAATTGCGCATTTATCATCATTATCATAAAGCTTCTGTTCGCGTCCAGTAGGTCATATTCCTCCTTAAGATTTTTCCATATATTTCTATCTTTTGTTCGTCCCAATTCGTCTAGATTCTCTCAGTATGAGATAGACCTACTTCGCGGAATCGACCTTGCCCAAGTGAACCTTGGTTATTCCATTACTCCTACATCTAGGAAGAACCATACCCAAAACCAAGTATCCTAACTCATAACACCACACATCCTCCCCCTTTGTTTTCACTCGCCAACCCGCATTAGGCAAGCGTCGCAAGTTATGACCAACAGTGGCGCACCCAGGTGGAGGGTTTTGGGGGTTAAACCCCCCCAAGGGCACTATTCCGACACGGTCCGTCACGACAACACGAATTTTAAGGACTTAATGGTGGAGGTAGCCATAAAAAAATTTCGATGCCCAACCAAAACCCTCCAGAGGAAAATTCTAGGTGCGCCACTGATGACCAATTATCCTCAAGATGAGAAAAAAAAGCCTAAGTAAAAAAAATTGCGAAAGAATTCGTTGATCAAATCACCTAAAAAGAATAAGTAATGACCATCAAATGGGACGTACTTTGAATGTACGAATTAACACAACATGACGAACAATTAGAAGTCCTAAGATCGGGACACGCTTTGTACCACGTTCGCAGAGAAGGAGAAACTATTGGAGGAGTGGGTTTCTTTGCAAATAAAGGCTCACAGATTAAATATTCACAAAGGATCGCAAATATTTCACGTTTAAATTCCCGATATATGCGTTTGTGTGTATGTGTAAAGCTAACTGCAGACTTATTTATTTATTGCTCAAAAATGGACGATTACTAAATATTTTTTCGATTATAAAATTATATCTTTTAAAGAATTAATAAACATTTGTTTAGAACAAAACAATTCGTTATGTAGTCGATATTAGTGTCGTCATAAAAAATTAACCACTTAGCTTCATTCTCGGCTATTTAATCAAAAATTTTAGAATCGGACGGCAATGAATTTATCATTGTCGTTTCAATTTAAGAAGATGAATGACTTTTAAATTAAGATATTAAAAAATTACAACATAGTTAAACCCAAAATATGGTTATTAAAGATGATTCACAACATTTTGAACATATTTGTCTATTAAACGAGGTTTAGTAATTTGGAGAGAAAATATGTAAAAGTTTTGGTTGTTTTTTTTTTATGTAAAACTTTGGCGCATTCGCGCAAGGTGATTTCAGAAGATATAAATTTTAGACAATATTATTATTATTATATAATTCTTCTACTTATAGTGCCAACTTTTATCTATTGGTGATTATAAAAGTTGGTGATTATTCTGTTTAAATATATTTTATAGTATATTTATTACATCGTCTCTACGTAAATTGGCAACATATGGGAAACTTTTTTCTTCATGAAAAGTTCTGCACGGTCTAAAACCTAGGATGCATCCATTAGATAAAAAATTTTATCAATTTTATGTGAGGTATGTCAAAAAATATGAATTCTGCTCAAGAATAAAGTATTTTTATATTTATAAAGATCGAAAATCGGTATTATGAAAGTTCCTATAGTTCGAAAGTTGTTTGGAATTAAAAACTATATTTAAGTTAAGTATCTTCTTCTTACGGTGCCTTATCCTTAAGGACGTTGGCCATTACATTTGCCCATTTAATCTTATTTGTAGCAGCCCTGAATAGTTCTATGGAGGTCATGTTCGTCCATTGCCGTAGGTTTTTAAGCCAAGATTTGCGTCTTCTTCCTGGTCCTCTTTTGCTATTGACTTGCCTTCGATTATAAGTTGGAGCAGTTCATACTTTTGGTTTCTTAAAGTTAAGTATAGTATAGGTTTACTATGTAATTGGCAAGGACACGATTTTTCTCAAATTACAAATATGACAATTCTTCCATTTCGATAAAAAATGATAAAAACATTTTCATAAAACAAAATACATTAAAAATCTAATGAACATTTAGGAGTTAATAACCTTTCAATTAGTTAATGTCTGCCTTGTAACACTTTAGAGATGCATTTAAGTATTAAAGTATGTAACAGTAGGTTACATGTAAGGCAATGTCTTGAAAATCGTTATAATAGAAGAGTTATACATCGAGTTTCTGAAATTATTTGGCCTCCTAGGTTTCCAGGTTTGACGCTACTCGATTTTGTTATGTGGAAAAGATTTATCTACAAGATAGGTGTATCTTCAAAGACCATTTACAGACGTTGCTCATTTTGGAAAAAGTTATTAAAGAATGCATTGAGAGTATTACCTCGGTTATGGTTAGAAAGGTATTTAAAAACTTTCTAAAAGAACAATTATCTGTATTGAAAGAGAGGATGGATATGTTGAGTGCTTAGTGAATAAGGGAAGCTAATCATCTTCATTAAATGATGAGAGGATATTAACTCTTTAATGTTCATTACTTTTTTAATGAGTTTTGTTTTGTGATCATTTGAAAAAAAAATCATTTTTTTATCGGAACAGAAAAGTTTTATTTTGAGGTTGTAACCATTAATTTAAAAAGCAGCATAAGAAAAGCTCTTTGTTAATATCGAACTAACACAAAATTTATTGGCTTCATCAGCATGTGCTAAAATAAGTTTTAAATTGTTTTTATAGTAAATACAATGAAATTAAGACAAAAGAAGAAAGAAACTTTCAACATTTGATTCATCCATAAAATTATGACCGATAAATGACCTAGGAGGACAAGTTAATAGAGTGTTATGACTCATTTCAGCATCCCTGCTTCATTAAACACTCGGGCTGATACAAATTCAAACTCGGAAAGTCCAACGAATGTCTAATAAATCTCTGTCACTGCAGTGGTTAGTCTACAGAGGTACCATCTACTGTAATGGCCATAAACGAAAACGATTTAATAATATCGTTTTCTGTCCTCCGGGCTATAATAAAAAGTGGAGCAATATTCAGAAGGTATTACTAAAGGCTGCTGTTTTTGCAGAGAGTCTAGAAGCACTGCAAGTCTTAATAAATAGATTACATCAAGTCAGTATAAAATATGGACTACAAATGAACGTGAATAACTACAAATATCTGGGAACCTGGACAAATAAAAACAATGACCAAAGTAGAGAAATAAGGACATGCATTGAAATTGCAAGACAAGCATTTATAAAAATGAAAACAATGTTTGTTAATCAAAACCCTCCTCTAGAGCTGAGAATAAGAGCCTTAAGATGCTACGCGTTCTCGACTTTGTTGAATGAAATGAAAAGCTGGACACTAAAAGTGGATAATATACAGAAGTTGGAATCATTTGAGATCAAGTGCTATAGAAGGATTTTGAAAATACCATGGACCAAACGAGTTACAAATGCAGAGGTGTTAAGAAGGCGACAAAAAGATTCCGAGGTCATAAAACACATCAAAACAAAAAAGCTGGAATAATTGGGCCACAGGTGTAAAATATGAAATATTAAGGCTCATAATGCAAGGTAAAATCAAGGGTAAAAGATCCATATAAAGACGAAGAATTTGAAGAATGGCTAAGAAACTTAAGAGAGTGGTATAATTGCAGTTTATAAACGAGCACTGAAAGACGTATGTGGCGTCCTTCATCATTTTTAGTGGCTAATTTAGATTTCTCATCCCAAAAAACTCCAGCTTACCAAATTTCGTGTTGTTATACTATGCCCGTCACGAAATATTCAAAAATAAAAGTTTACCTTTGACACCCTTTATTTTGGTTATTATCAACATTCGTACTAAAGTGAGTTAGTTTAAATCGGCCTATTTTAATCTCAGGAATCTAAGATTAAGTTATGGCCATTCGTTGCGAAACAGTATGTATATTATATTAATATATAACCCAAATGTCAATAATAATTATATTAAAATTAACATAATTATAAATAGGTACATATTTATTTAATTCCAGTAGCTTTGTCGTAACTTCTTATGACATTTTTCGTACGCCATTGGAAGACCTACAATAGAGATGAACCGTCACTATTACTTCCAAGAATTTACTGCCTACATTTCTGGATTCTGACTATAGTAGATCTTTTCAGAACAGCAGCCAATAAGGTAAGGATAGCTGTGACGATAGCCAACCTCCGACAGGAGAAGGTACTATAAGAAGAAGAAGAAGGGCTATACGAAATGTGTAAATGTGTATATATATATAATATATATATATATATATATATATATATATATATATATATATATATATATATATATAATATATATATAAAGGAAGAATGATCACAGCTGTCCAATTATTAATTAGTATAATGGTAAGGTTAATTGGGTTAGCAGCTGAAAACCCAGCTGCTAACCCAATTAACCTTACCATTATACTAAATATATATATATATATATATATATATATATATATATATATATATATATATATATATATATATATTATAAATGTTTGTAGTAGCTAATGCATCTTCTACATGATATAATTATAAATTATATCCGCGTGACAAGTATTACCTATCAAATGATTATATAAACTGTAAAATATTCATTATTGCAGTATAAGAAATGATAAAAGATATAAAACCTATTAAGAATGTTGTATTGATTGTAATAAATTACAATCAATTACTTATATCTTTAATGAAATACCGGTAGTGATAAAGCAACAGTAAGACTTACCTTCAGGTTTTAATCGTTCCATATTTATTCGACTATAGGGAGGTGGCCGTATTTCTGAAACAAAAAAAGAAAGTTAATAAAATACAAGTAAAACTAATTGAAAAGCTTAATAAAATGTATCGATTTAGTGTCAGAAATATTATAAGATTTTCATAACTTTTGAAATTTCTGCCCAAAATCAACAGCAAAAGATTTAAAAACATTGATTGAGACTGAAAGATTGAGATGAAATTTCGCACAAGTCTCTTCTTCTTAACGTGCCCTATCAAGTCCTCCTGACGTTGGCGATTAACATGGCGAAACTGTCTCTGTCTCGAGCTATTCTAAATAGTTGCTCAGCTTTCTTTATTCCTGTCCACTCCCTGATATTCTTCAACCAAGAGGCCTGCTTTCTACCAATTCCTCTGCGTCCTACGATTTTACCCATCATAATAAGTTGAAGAATATTATATCGGTCTCCCCTTACTACGTGCCCAAAATAGGCCATCTTTCTACATTTGATAGTTATCAAGCAGCTCGCGAGCAGCATTTGCTCTTTCAAGGACTGCCACATTTGTCAGCATAGCCGTCCATGGAATTTTTAGTATACGTCTGTGCAGCCACATCTCAAAGGCCTCCAGACGATTAATGTTGGATATTTTTAATGCCCGACACCTCGACACCGTATAAGAGGACTGACCAAATGTAGCATTTAACCATGTGCTTTCGAAGTTGAAGTTGCAAGTTATCATTACAGAAGAATGACCTTATTTTTAAAAATGTCGTGCGAGCTATCTCGATTCTACATTTTATCTCTTGATCTGGATCTAGTTGTTTAGTAATATGGCAACCAAGATATTTAAAACTGGACACTCTTTGAATTATATGACCATCAACATATAATCGTGCATCTTGATGTGCTAAACGGCTAAACACCATGTGTTTTGTTTTTGAACAGTTTATGTTTAGGCCAAACTCTCTTTCCACTTTATCAAGGGCATTTAAAAGGCATTGTAATCCATTCATGTCATCACTTAAAATAACTGTATCGTCTGCATATCTGATTGTATTTATCAGAATTCCATTAACTTTCACGCCCCATTCTAAATTATGCAGCGCTTCTTTAAATATTCTATCTGAATATAAATTAAATAATAGTGGGGATAGTATACAACCCTTTCTGACACCTCTTTGTATTTTACATATTTCTGTTGATTTTCCATTTATGCAAGCTGTCGCTGTTTGACGCCAGTAAAACTTTTCTATGAATCGTATGTCTTGACTATCAACTCCTTTATCTTTTAATATTGTAATTAATTTGTGATGCTGTACTCGATCAAAGGCCTTTTCATAGTCAATAAATACAGCAAAGACGTATTTCCTTTGATCTCGACATTTCCGCAGTAATACATTTAGTGCAAAGAGGGCGTCCCGAGTTACCAGTCCATTTCTGAAGCCAAAGTGTGTTTCATCCTGATCTTCTTCACATTTATCTCTGATTCTACTGTGGATGATGCGTAGAAATATTTTCAAAGTGTGGCTCATAAGGCTTATCATTCTATAATCGCTACAGTTTTTCGGACGTTGTTTTTTTGGTAGTGTTATGAATTCGGACTTTAACCAATCTTCAGGGATATCATCAGTCGAATAAACATCATTGAAAAGTTTGACCAGTATTCCAATGTTCTCCTCATTTATAAGCTTTAACATCTCTGTCGGTATGTTATCAGGGCCAACGGCTTTCTTGTTCTTTGCTAACTTTATAGCATGCAGTATTTCTGATTTTAGTATTTCTGGTCCTTCACCTTCAACTAAAGTCTGCGGTTCCTCGGGTCTATCATCATTATACAGTTCACTTATATAATTACACCAGGTTGTTCGAATTTCATGTTCGTCTATTATCATTTTTCCCGACGAATCGGTTCTATTATGTGAAGTTTTCTTATGGTAAAGACCAGCTACTTCTCTAACTTTTTTAAACATATTAAACGTATCATGTTTTTCATTCAACTTTTCTAATTCCTTGCATTTATCCTCCATTCAATTTTCTTTTACCACCTTTATTTTTTGTTTAATTAGTTTCTGTTTTTCCTTATATTCTGTTAGCCTTTAACCTGTAACCTGTAACCTTTCAGATACCTTCTCTGCTTTATTAATTCCAGGATTTCATCAGTCATCCATTGTTGTTTTTTGTACTTGTGTAACGTTGTTGAATATTTTTCTATTACTTTCAAGGTAAGATCTTTAAATGTGTTTCATATTTCTGTGTTGTTTTCATTTATTGATTTCTTTAGCTCATTGTCATTTTCTATTAACGTTTTGTTGGATATTGAGATATTTATGAGATATACAAGTCTCTTATTATTTAGTATAATTTGGTAACAAAGTTTTTTATTATGTGTCTGTGTATACATCTAACCGTTGTATTTAAATACAATTGTTTAGAACCAAAATACTGATAGCTAAAATTAACTCTTCAACTGTTACTAAAACTCAAGATATCTAGTAATACAATTAAATTCCTCAATTAGCGGATCGATTTACGACATATCCTCCAATTTCTCCCGAAGCGAATCCCGAAATAATTGAAAAAACAATACTTTGGTAACTACCCTATAAAATTTATTTACTATTTACTTTTTAGATTCATAACACCGGAACATCGAAACATTCTTAGCTAACTTTTCTATCTATCTTCCTTTTTCAATTCTTGAGGAATATTCAAAATTTTTAAATTAATTAAATTTTGTCCAAAATCGGGGACATTAAAATTTATAGTGACTTTTATAATTTTTAATGTCATTTTTACTTTATGACTTTAGTTTGCGACTTTATTCAGTGACATTAGTTTGTCATTTCAAAGAAGGAAAAAACCACCGTGTGGTGACAGTGTACCAGATATTGCTTTTAACGAGTGTTTTAAAGGAATGTTTATGATCTTTCCTCCAAAACGACATTAATGTGGCTACCTAACTAGAGTTTTTCTTGGAATAATAATACATTTTTGACGTGAAAAATACCATTCTTTGTTTCAGCGATATGTTCCAAGAAAAATTAAGCTTTTAGATGTCTTATCTAAGATTTGATCGAGTTCTCTCAATCTAACCGAAAAATTCGATGGAAACATTTATGTGGCTTTTAGTTTCGTGAATTTTTTAATAAAGATTGAAGCTTGATTGAGGAACGATATCAATATAATTTATTAAGTAAATGTTTAGTATATTTTATGGATACTTTACTAGGCCATTTTGCACGGTTAAAATACTAATATATTAGTAATATATAGTTATACCTCATAAATATTTACGAAAATTTTTATCTAGTAATACAAATCAGAGTAGGCTCATTGAGATTGTAGTGATATTTAACCATTTACCAAAACATTAATGTGTGTAGTAATCATGAGAATAAAACTATTACACGAAATGTAAAAAAAAGATACACGCAATATAAAAAAAGATACACTGAATGCAAAACTTTGCATGGTATATTTCTTTTTTTGCCATATTTAAAAAATGGCAGTATAATTAGGTTTTATTAGTATGTCTTCAATCTTAGGGTGTATAACAACTCTTGCCCAAGGGGATCAAAGTGCAGGGCACAGATAACCGATCTTCGAGGGTAATATATCCTTAAAGAAGAACAAGTATACTGATCATTCTTACATAAATCTCAGCCTACCTCGTGGGAACAGCATGGACGTCCATAATTTGAATTAAGTGGAAGAATACAAATACAGAATCTATGCAGATGGCACCTATATTCTAACAGTAGGAGACATTAATGAAGAAGCGACTGACCAGTTGCAGATGTCAAGAAAAATTGCTAATTACTTTTAACACAACCAAATTCACCTATATTAACTTTACAAAACCCATATTAACTTAACAAAATATATCAATTAAAATAAATTATGTAAAAATACACTCGAAACATCAGCAAACTATTTTGGCGTTATTAAAAACTGCACTGGAAAATTCATGTTAAAAAGAACACCTTGATATTCCGTCTAAAAAAATATGCATTGGATATTTGGGAGAAACTCAAAATGGTAAATTCGTAATAAGCTACTAGCCTATCATCAAATACTAAGGCCAATAGGCATATATGGTTGTCAACTCTGGGGTTATGCTAATAATAGTAATATAGGTGTCATCCAGCCATTTCAGAATAAAGTGTTAGATATTGTTAACTCTCCTTTGTAGATACAGAACAGTTATCTTTATATGGACATGGGCATGAAGACAGCGGATAAAGTCATTAAAAAGACATCAGAAAATCACGAACAGAGACTCCATAGTCATTTGAATGTTAAGGCAATCCAGTTGTTTGACACCAATGTAATAAAACGAAGGCTCAATACAATAACAACCTTCGAGTTTCTTTAAGTGTTTAACATGAAATCATAACATAGTGAGTTGTAACGTTTTGTGTTAAGCTGGTACTAAATATTATCAGTCATCCTCCTCCTCAGTCCTAATCCCTTTTGGGATGTGGTGATGCCATCAGGCCTTCACAGTTTTTTTAGGATTTCCCTCCATCCTTCTCTGTCCTGGGCTAGTTGTTCGGCTTCATGTAACCCTTGGTAAATCAATGTTTTTGTTTGATCTATTACCAGTCATATAGCTACCTAATTACCTAATAAGAGAACACCATAGGGTGAGCTTTAAGTTATAGGAAATCACGGATAAATTAGGCTAGAGATAGCTCATTGGCCAGTTGGTCAGATTTCAATAGTTTGTAAAAGTTGCTGTTTTACGAAATTAGTGTTTATGCCACTTACAGTTTAGGTGTAACAGGATTGATTACCTACCTAATAACATCAATGTTTAGTCAAGTTAATGTGAAGTGTTATTTGTTGTCTATTATTGTTTGCCAGTATATCGGGCTTGAGAAAATAATTTATTTCATTCACATTTCTATGACCTGTATGACTACTGGTGACAGATGCTCAAAAGTATACAGGAAGTAGTTTCAACTGCACATAAAACTTGTTTTGTCAACGGAAGAACCAAGTTTATATACGCCAACCATATCATTTCAGAAAATCATCATTAAATAACAAAAAAGTAGAA